CCACAATGTCATATATATATTCACGATTTCTGTGAAAAAGTGTATGATCTGTGATCGCTGATCACTGTCTTGTATTGTTGATCACCAAAACTGATCAACTGCAGGTCACTTCGCAGCCTGCGTGTGCAGCGCATCTCCTCTACACTGCGCAAATGCGCAGCAACAAATCCTAAATAATGTGGTGAAGAACTTTAAGGTTCTGAGATTGAACCTTAAAGTTCAATCTCAGGCTTCACGCCTCGGGGTTGAAGCACATCAAAACGCATCAACACAACGAATCTAATATGGCATTAAAAAAAACAACTACGTGGCGGAGTTTGGCTACATCGAGCCTCAACGCAGGAAAAAAAGACATCCGGAGCGGCCAGATAGCAGGTAAAGCAGCACACAACTACCAACGATCTCCCGGATTAGCATCACGGTCAGAAAGCTAAAGAAATAACCGAGCTGGCGGTGTAAGATTCTGGTTCCCTAGGTGCTGTATTTTCCCTGCAAGTATTTTGTATGTTTTATGTCGAAATTAGTTGAATTTATTGCCAGATCATTTTTCCGTTTCACATAGTAACATTTATACCTAAAGCTAAATAAATAAATAAATAAATAAATAAATAAATAAATAAATAAATAAATAAATGTACAGCCAATCCAGATGATCGGCAGTGATCGGCCCTCATGGGTGATCGGATTCGGAAGCAAAGAACCTGATCGGAGCATCCCTAATAATAATAGCTACTAGTTGTGCGCCAAAACTAATGATGTAAGAGGGCCGCACTGGATTAATTTGGGGAATTTCAAAACTGTCCGACGCTTCGATACACTCCAGGCCGCTTCTTTGTAGCTGCAATCATCAATTTATTCCACTTTGATTGTCATACTTCAGAGCTTACACAGACTGGTACATACTAACCAGGCTAAACCAAACAATGGTCCCAACAATAAACGGCATTACAGCACTGTGAACAGAAATTTTGACCACCCCGGTGCACCCGCTTCCTCATACAAGCCAGCGCGCCAGCGTGGCTCCCATTCATGCAGCCACGTCCACCTCGACACACCCACCACCCAAGTGTCAAAGCAGTGTGCTCTCGTCACTTCAATAATTGCTTATTCCAATCATATGGCTCCTACTGTTCACGCAGGGGGCCCACCTCTGAGAAAACGGGAGACGTCCTCCAGCTGGGGGATGTTATCCTCCCGGTAGCCACAGTGTTTGGTGAGCAGCGGCAGGTTCTTCAGGTACTCTCTGCATGCGTGGGTCGGGTACAGCTTGGTCAGCTCCCGGAACACGACGCCCCATGTCTTCACCTCCTCGGAGGTGTACTCGATCCGAGGGATGGGCTGCCCACTGCCGAAGGACAGTTCAGGGTAAAAACATGTGGGATAGGGACAGTGACGCAACTGCACATTATTCAGGTGGATGCGAAAACATAAATCGGCGCCCCCCCTCCCCTCCCCCCCGAGGGAAGGGACGTCAGGATGAAGGAGCGACGCTGCGTGAAGTGTAAAAATCGCTACATTTACCTCGTTATGTGTGAGAGGTGAAGCAGCGTGAGGCGCGCTGAAGTGTATGGGAAAACATAATCGGCGCGTCGCCCCCTCCAGACGGGGTTTTGGCGCCCCCTCTGGTGCTGCGCCCCTATGCGTTGCATACGCTGCATACCCACTTTTTGCGCCTCTGGATAGGGATGCAAATTGATCTTATCGGTCGACTAACGGTTAATTGATAAGCCGCCACTTTCTTAAAAACCTCAGTTTTCTCTTGTATGAAGAGGATCGATCGTTTTTCCATACCATAAGGGCTAAAATGTTCATAGCATGCTGGGTTAAAACAAACAAACATTAAAACCATTGTGAAACTAATGGAACTTGTTTAATGTTTGTATTTCAAAACAGAACCGCATAAAATGTATTTTGCACCCCACACCGAACTCTGAGCTGTTTCTCTTTTCCGTTCTGGTTTGTCGCCGTTATGTCGCCAACGGCTCCGCTTAAAGATGACCAGCGGCGCCCTCTGCTGTATGGCAGCCAAACTACAACACTAAAAAATGTCTAAACGGACGTGATTCGTTTTTCCACTCTTTGGCGATTTGCACGAAAATTGGAGGTATAAGACAGAGTATTAGGACCATTATGGATGGAAAAAATTATAAATAAATTCCTGCCAAAAAACTGATTTTGAGATTGATCTCAGATATTTTCTAAGAAAAAGCATGGACATTTCTGAGGTCGAAAATTCTAAAATTTGGTAAGAAAAAAAACAAACCAACAAAAAAAAGTTACAAATTTAACTTTTGAAATTGAGAAACTCCTAAGATTTTTCTACAAAGTTTCTGAGAGTAATCTCAAAATTTGAGTTTTTTGGCCTCAATATACTCCTTCCTTTTTTTCTATCAATTGCCCTAATATGCCATCATTGAAGGTGTGCATGTGTTTTTAGTTAATCAGTTTTAACAAATTTTAATAAACTGTTAATTGTCAATCGTAGGATGATTAATTGTTTGCATCCCTAAGGTGGGAGCTAAGGTTCTATCCAAACCTGGTCTTTTACGTGCATTGATACAAATACATAAGGCTTTATTTTTATTTCATAAACAGAGAAAATGTGCCAGATTTTCAAAAAAATATGTGAATATTACTGATAAAATCCACCTGGATCAATGGAAGGACATATAAAGAAATCAGGACTGAGGAAATCCAGTGACTTACAATTTGTAGTTCATGGCCACCTCCACAAAGTACTTCCTGCGCTGACGATAAACATTATCCTTAAACCCCTAACAGAAGGAGGAACAGAGACAAGAACTTCCTCAGTTTGGCTTTCTGTATGATCACCTGACTCATCAGAAAGCCATGAGTGAATTTAGATACACGAGCGTCACACACTTATTAAACTCACAGGATGGTCTGCATCCAACTCCGACCCGTACATCAACACTCTGTGTGAACACTGATCCAACTCTGAGATTTTCATGGGAAACCAGGGAACATTCTCTTCATCTGGGAAAACACCAAAATTAACTTAACACTTTGAAACATTTTCCAACCCATGAATGTCTTGTATCTGTGTTGTATCCGTACCCGCCTCAGCTGACCAAACATGTGCAGGCGTGTTGAAGGAGATGATGTTGACGTGATCTTTGAGGTGCTGCAGAAGCTCGTTGAACTCTTTCTTGCTGCATTTGCAGTCGGCAAAGATCTCCACCTCATTAGGAACCCGCTTCGACATCCGGGACTCGATGTGGTTCAGGTTGACCCGTCTCTCCTTGAAGAAGAGGATGGAGGTTGGATATAAATACTGCCAAGATCTGGATTAACATTATTTTTTGTCCAGTTTCTAGTGCAAATATCTTAGTACTTGAAATAAGACAAAAACCAATTCACAGGTAACTGTTCAGCAGAATATAAGAGCTTTTAAGTCAATAATTCCTGAATATTGATTCAAATGTACTAGCTCTGTTAGCAGATTACTTCACTTATGGGGAGACATTTTTTCATGTTATGCACCGCAAAGACACAAAATTTTACAAAATATTTTGGTCTAGTTTCCTAGATCTGAGTCTGAGTGTAGTTCTGGTCCTGAATATGGTTCTGGTTCTGACCTGGAAGAGTCTGAGCGCTTTGACCAGACAGCCGACCTCGTTTTTCAGAGAAAACACCACTGCTGTTTTCCCAGAATCCTCTGCGTTTTCGCCATCGGGCTTCTCGTTGATTGGACAGAAAGATGTCCGTCTGGACTGATGATGGTGATGAAGAACAAAACAAAAACAACAAATTAGATCAGAGGACATTTACTCTATTACATTATTTGTTACATTTTTGAACTACAATGTCAATTAATGGTTTATTAATTAAAATGAGTTAAAATCCATTAAGAACGTCCGCTTAAACCTTCTTGTTTAAGTGTTGTAGTTTGGCTGCCATCCAATAGAGGGCGCCGCTGGTCATCTTGAAGCGGAACCATTGATACAGAAACAGAAACCCGCCATTAAAACCAAAAAGAAGAAGAAACAAGATGGCGAAGTGACCATGCCAGAGTGGAAAGAGAAACGGTCCAAACAAAGTCCGGTGTTCGGTGGAAAATGCACTTTATATGATTCTGTTGTGCAATAGTACCACAAGTTTCATAATATAATCCAGCATATTATGAAAAAAATAGTTCCTTTATTTTATTTAGAGACGGTCGACCCTCTTCATCCAAGAGAAAAGAAAATGGGCGCTTATTAGTTAATCGATAAGCTCAATCAGGTTGAAATGAAACAGCAGAACATCTCAAAAAGCTCAGAACCTGATTGGCTTCTGCTGGTTTTTCCCTACAAAGACAGACCGATGGACCCTGGAAGTTCCGACCCGGAGTGAAATAACCGGAACCTGCTGCTCTTATCTGACGTCGTCGACTGTTCAAACAGACGAGCTGCAGCTGTTGTTTCCTGAATTAAACATGGAGATGCTGACAGACACAGAAGACGACGTGCAAACCATCAGGTGCAGCACACGAGATCCACCTTTCTGTTCCTGACACATTCAGGTAAGGAACGATGACCAATAATCAACCAGGCTGCAGGTTCTGAATGGGCAGAACCAGCTGAAAGGAGTATTTTAAGAACTTCTAGTCAGAAGGAGAACATGAGTCCAGAATCTGAGCCTTACAGTCAGAGCAGAGAGGATTGCAGAGACACAAATTTCAAATTCTGCAGACCTGATAAACGACTGATGAACACTTCTCATCGTATGATAGAAAATTATAATGTCTGCTTTTCATCTTGATTTTAAAGAAGTTAAATTTAAATTTATCTGGATCCCAGATAAATTGAATAAATTGAATCTAAGAGGCAGATTAATGATTATCAGGAATAATACAAGGTGTATGGAGGACTGATCCTGCCAAAATTGGGAATAAATATTGAAATAAATGGCTTGAAAAAGTAATTAAACTGCCAAATATTGCATCCAAAAATAAAAAAATGAAAATGTTCCCTATTTATTTGATTAAATTATTCTTTTAAGTAGTATTATTGAAACATCATCACTACTATGCAATTTTCAGTTTTATTTCCAGTCTTATTATTTTCTTTTTTATTTCATTTTTTCCTCTAATTTTTCATCTTCTATACTTAATATTTTTATTGCCATAATTTTATTAATCATATGTGCTTTAAGTTTTTTCCCCACCATGCATTCCTTTCTTTTTTAATATTTTCTCCATTTCTGTTTTCTTCATTTCTCAATTATTTACAGTTTTCTGATTTTTTTCCGTTGTCTTGTCTTTTCTTTTTATATACATTTATTTCAAAATTTTGGCAGGATACATCCTCCATACTTGTTAACTTTCCAACAATGGAGAGCTGAACTTTAACTGAATTGAACATTTCTGGATATTTCACTCAATACAGTGAGGATTTTTAAAAATCTTTCTCTTCATTTCATTCATAACTATGAAAAAAAACTAATAAAATCTGATCCATCTCATTTAATCTGTTATAACCACATTATTGCCCCTGCAACTAAGTTCAGAGTTTTGTCTCCAAACTGTCTGTTCACCAAAATTTACCTAAATTACTTTTTATAAAAGAAAATTTGTAGAAAAAATGCAAATAATAAAATAAATAAAGTAAATATTCCCTGACTTTTCTGTTCATTAAGCAGTTTTGAACCAGTAACAATAAGTTTGAAGCAGCTAATAGAGACAAACAGGAGGATTTTCCTCTTCCCAGGTGAAGAATCCCGATTGAAGTTCTGCACTGACAAAACTGAGCTGTACCACCTGAAAATAGATCCAGAGAGGAGAGAGGGATGAAGAGGAGGAGGAGGAGGAGTCCAGGCTCTCACCATCTGTCCCCCGGTGTGCCTCTGCTGATGCTGGTGGTTGTGCTGGTCGAACATGGCCGAGTCCAGAGACATTCCCCTCCTGGACCAGTACTTGCTGGAGAACATCATCATGGCGGGCTGCATGCGCGGTATCGGCTCCGGCCCGCCGTCCTTCATCACATGGGCTGAAGCCATGGGGAACCAGTGGGTGTACGAGTACCAGGGCTCCAGCCTGCCGTCCGGATGATGCAGCCGCTTCTGATGCTGAGGACCAGAACCGCCTCGCCTCCACCTAAATACTCCCATAGGAGGGGGGTAAGAGAGAGAGAGAAGCTCCGCCCACTGATGGAGGGGGCGTGTCCACAGCATGGATGGACCCAAACTACTGCAGAAGGAAGAGAAGATCTCATGGGAGGAAATAAGTTAGAATGCGAGGGGGCGAAATACCTGGAAGGGCGGGGCTTCACAATATCTGGATTAGGAATACAAACGATGCATAGTTCCCACAAGTCTGAACCGGAAGTGATCTGAGTCATCTTAGAAGGCAAGACCCATGGATTCAAGACCAACAAAATGAAAAAAGTGTGGACACCAATGTGCGAAAAAAAATACATGAACAAAATGGCTGCTGTCAGGATTGACCTGAAAGAGATGGAGAAGGAAAACACGTCAGACGAAGTGGACAAGCTGCCTCTGATCTCAATCCATGTCGATGTAGTTCACTACCTGGTGAACATAAAGAGTGCATACATCATGGAGGAGTTTCAAGGCCTGAAATCTATGGACGCATAAAATCAATGTTTAAAGGGATTTGTAAAAGAACTCTTCACATGAATAACAAGGTTCTGGTGGCAGGCAGATAAACACGTAGGCTATGTCCATCTTAGCTTGTGGATGAAAGCTAAGCTAATTTTGGCAGTGAGTACTACAGTAAATATCACTGATATTTATCTTAGTATTACAGAGAGGTTGGTAGAGTGCCCAATTATAACAGAGTAATGCATATTTATATGTCAAAAAGACATTTGGCAATGGCTGTTGCCATTAAATAAGAAATCCAGTTAAAATCACACATGAATACATTTGTAAAAACATCTCGCCATCATTCACCTACTTCCTGCCGTTGCCTTTGTCTTTTCCGCCAGTAGTAACATCCGGTTGCATTTTTGCCAAATACACCAATTCTGATACAGCTGTTAAAACACCTTATCGTAGCACAGAAACTTTTTATCGAAAAACTTGAATTTCTCTTCGAAATCGGTGTATTTGCTATAAGCTAATTTATTTTCGTAATTCCAATTTCCGCAATTTTACAGTCGATGGAAACGCAGCTACTGACTTGTTTATATTTCCAGGCTGCATTTTCATCCCTGCTTGTCTACTTTAATAAACTCTGTTTTCTCAGAACTGAAGGCTTTTCTGTTGTTTAAATGTCAAGTCAGACCTCCGTTACAGTGAGGATGAGGAGCAGCAGGTGAAGCTCTGACTGACGCTCCGTCTCTTCATGAAGCTGAGAGGAAACAGCTGATAAGCAGCAGCAGCTATCGGCCGCCTCTTTCCCAATTTCCTGCAGAACAGGAAATGAAAGCCGAGCAGCTTTGTTCTGGTTCTGAGCAGCTTTATGAGCAGATGGCAGGTGATACCGCCGGCCGACTCTCTGCCTTCAAATGGCTCCTATCAGACCAGGAGGAGGAAGAGACGTCCATCAGCGCCATGAAAACTGCTCAGCTGACATTTAAAGGAGGCATCGAGAAATGTGACACTGTAGAGTCAACCAGGAATAAAACAGGCCATAAGTAGGGATGCAAACACTGTTATTAATAGACTTAATTACAATTAACTTTTCACTGCGGCTAATCAGCTGTGAAAGTGATCAGGATGCTGAGAATTATTGGATGACACTTCTATGTCTTTAATTGAAAGTATCTTAATACTTGACATGTATTCGTTAGTTTAAAAACAATATTTAAGACTTCGTTTGATTTGTAAAAGTTTAAAGCACTGCGCTGTAGAGTTAATATCAATTAAAAGTAAAAAGAAAATATGAGCTGTAAAACATGCATGTCAAATAAAATAGCAGCTTTAAGTGAGTTGACATCACTGACTTCTGTCTATAGCTCTGGCTGTAAGCGGGAACCCTGTTTATATCACCGTCTCTAAACAGGAACACCGTTTATACTTCTAAACGATCTTTGGGCTGCTCTTGGTCCGATCCCTCACCTTGGACCCGTTTGCCTGGCAAACCCGACCCAAATAGAGGCATGAAGCCTCTGATGGCTCCTAGGATCACTGGGACACTCAAACCACGATAAGGTGGCAGAGGGGAAAAAACAAAGCCAGAATCAGTTCCCTTCTCTACACTTGGTCTGGTGTCCTGATTGGCTGTGGTTTCTTTGTGGAGGACGTGCATTGGCTGACATGGAAAGTTTTCTGGATCAGTTGACTTGTTGTGTCTCTGCTCTGTCTTCTCTCACCTCCAGTAGCTCGTGGCAGATGGCTGCTGGTACTGAGCCCGGTTCTGGTTCTACTGGAGGTTTGTTCCTGGTAGAGGGGAGTTCTTCCTCTCCACTGTCGCTATATGCATGTTCTGTATGAGGAACTGCTGTAAAGTCAACAACTCAACACGAGCAATTTGCTGTCGCCCCCTGCTGGTCAGATGGAGTGAATGCTGTAAGTAACGACTCCATACAATCTGCTGGGTTTTATTTGGTACCACCTTTTTAAACTACTTTAATAATCAACTGAGCTTATTGTACTGGCAATTGAAATACATATTTTATTAAAACTGAGAGTCCAGGGGAGTAAAACTGAAGAATTTTTTTTAAGTTTTCAAACTGATAGTTTTAGAAAAAAAAAGTACAGAAAAGGTTTAAAAAACAATATATATATATATATATATATATATATATATATATATATATATATATATATATATATATATATATAATCAAATAGTTTTAGGGCTGTTGTAAATGGTTATTCTGACAATCAAATAAAAAAAAAGAGAGAAAATATAGGTGAATTCCACCATAACAGCAGTATTACCATGGGAAAGGAAATTTTAACTTCAGATATTTTATGGTTTTAGTTTCATGTATTGAGATGTAACGAGTTTAATGACTTAAAAAATCTGATGCAGTGAGTTTAAGGTGTTAATTTTTACATCCATATGTAAAAAGTTAAAGGTGGAATTTCATCATTATGTGATATGACTTTAATTTGGATTTTTATCATACTGTGATTTAAAATGGAAATTCCTTATTGATTTATGTTTCAATGCAACAAGTTTAAGGTTGAATTTTTTATCTCCAGAAGTAATGAGTTTAATGTAGTTATTAATGTTCAAATGTAAAAAGTTTTAAGGGGTTTGAAGGTAAGTTTTAAAAAATATCATGCATTGTACTTTTACCAAAAGATAAAGCCCAATATTACAGAGTGCGATGCCTTTTTTGGTGTTTTTAGTGTGAGTTTTTTCACACTAAACAGACTTTTCAACAGACTTTGGAAGCAGAAATTATAACGGAAACAGAAAAAAGAGAAATGGATTGAACAAATATCAACTTCAATACTCTTTAGTAGCTTTAATAAGGGAGGCTTAGGTGAGTGTGAAGAGTCATTTTATGTAAATCATGATGACTTTATTGATCATTAAGCAGATGATGAACCTAATTGAAACCCTTAATGTCCCCCTCCAGCAGCTGCAGAAACATTTGGAACGGAGCGATCTGAGGAAGATGAGGACGAAGACGTTCATACGCAGAGACCAAAACCTTCATTGGCAGCTTTTTAATGAAAGAAAATAATGCGCCTCAGTTTGGGACAGACTGAGCAGTTTAAGGACGTCACTTTGGGCATTTACACCTTACAAATAAAAAACAAACAAATCAATAATCGGCTGATGCGTCGATAATAAAATACTGATTAGCTGCTGTCGGCAAGAAGGACAGATTCTGAGGCAGCGTCTGATCTGCAGGCGAGCTCTGACTCAGGAAACAAATGCACACGCATGTGGCACATGTGTGAGAGTCCAGGGGAGTCCCCACCTGCTCCTGTCTGTCCTGCAGGTCAGGATTTTAGAAAATATCAGGAGCAAAGAGACGATACAAGAAGTTAGAAAAATAAGATTCTCAATAATCTGCGATCCTTTGTACACCTTTCCGTTCCTCCTGGGGGCCACACGGCGCCCCCTGCTGACCTACAGTCAGTTTGTGCGTTAACTACGACGTGAAAACCCCTCTGCAGCTGTTCTGGGGTCTGTTGTCTCTGCAGTGTCCGTTAGAACAGGCGTCCTGCTGCTGGACGGGCCGAGACCCGGAGTCCGCCTGGCTGGAGACTCGGTGCTGCGTGTCGAAGCCCAGGATGGAGCTGATGGAGTGAGGCAGGTCCTGCAGAGGAGGAGCGGATCAGAATCAGAACCGGGTCCTGGTTCTGGTTAAATCCACACCAGGAGATTTAAACTGGACCATCTGAGTCTCCAACATCCGTCTCAGTTAGGGATGCTAAGAATAAATCCAGTCTTTTTCAAAGTACAGCCTCAGAAAGTTAGAAGGAAGATTAGAAAAATAGAATAAAAAACATGAATCTAATACATTTTCAAATCATAAATTTTAAGTTTTTTTTAACACAAAAAATCTGTAATATGCTTTTCAAACATCATTATAAGACATTTGTTAAAATAAGTTATTGAAATGTTAGGTGCCACGCTAATCTTTCTGATCAGCTGCCAGTTAAATTTATCCAGCTGCGTTGCTCCTCAAGCTAAACTAGTGTGAAAAGAAATGAAAGAGATTAATAAAGTCACAACATAAAACGTTTTCCCTGGCATCAAAAGGTTTGGGAATCTCTTAGTTAATTATTGATATTATGGTCAATTATTTTAAAATTAGTTCCAATCGATTAACTAATAACGTCCCCATAGACTTTCATTCAGTGTTGCAGTTTAGCCACGTTCCACAAGAGGGCGCCGCTGAGTGAAGCCAGTGCCAAAGATGGCAGCGCTATCCCAGAAAGGGAAACGGTTCAGTCTGGTGGGTGATGAACAATTCACTTAATGCGATTCTGTTTTGAAATATAAACCCTCGACAAGCTGCTTAAGCTCCACATTGTTTTATTTTTTTAAAATCAAGCATATTATGAAAAACTATGTTCATACTAGAGAAAACTCAAGTTTTTAAGGAAATTGTTAATTAATTAATAGACAGATGAGCTCAATGAAGTCTAGATTAATCATTTATCAGTAACTTGTATCCCTCATCTCAGTACAGAACTGATAGTTAGTAGAAACAGCCTCAGTAAACAAGTGGAGCTGAGTGGGAGTCACGTTACCGTGGTGACCAGGTTCACACCGAGGCGGTGAAAACCGAACACCCACCTTGCAGCTGCGGATCTGAAGGTAGATGCCCTCGGCTTTCTGCAGGATCTCCTCGATGTTGAGCTTCATGGAGAGCTCGTTGATGTGCTGCAACAGAAGAAACCCGATCGATAGGCGCCATTGATCTGATCCGTCATCACAAGAACCTGATCGAGCTAATCGGCTGAAGCTAATCGGCTCTGCGTTACCTTCAGGATCTCGTTGAAGCCGTAGTTCTCCTCCATGATCTTCTGCTTCTCAGAGTCCAGGATGGCACAGCAGACCAGCAGGTGGAAATTCTGGCAGGGCAGCTCAGTCCACATGACCTGAGGATGAACAGACACGACATCATCAGGAACCAGAACCACATACAGGAAGCAGAACTGGCTCTTACCTCACAAATACAAAGCCAAAAGAAGTACACTACAATTTTACATGATATTCAACTGTTTTGCTGCTAAATTTACAGATTGTACGACGGCATGTTAAGGCCATCCCAAATAGAAAAAAAAATCTCAGGGATATCAGTTTGAAAAGTTAAATATTTTTTACTTTACAAAAAAAGCTACAGAAGTCACTTCCATAGAGACACAGATCATATTTTTTGGGGGCTGAAAAGATTTAAATTGGGCCAATCAGACTGCAGTGAAAAAGTCGGATTTGGGTCTCATTTGGCTGCTGTGTGAACGCAGCATAAATGATGTTATTGGTTCTGAAGTCTGCAGTAAACCGGCTAGAAGAACCCTCATCGGATCCGACCCCCAGACTGACCTCCCAGAGCCGCAGGACATCGCTGAAGATCAGCTCCCTCTTGAAGCGGATCAGCAGCCAGCGGAAGCAGAAGTACAGATACCCGGACTCCTGGGACTCTGAAACACACAGAGACACGTCAGAGACACGGGTCCAACACGGGACCGTGACCAGAGCGTGACCCGACCTGACCCGAACAGACCGGCCGCTCCGTACCGAGGTAGTTCCAGAACGCCAGGTCCAGCAGCCTGAGCAGCGTGCTGAGCTGGATCAGCTGCGTCTTCATGCCCTGCATCTGCTCCTCAAAGTTCTGGTGCTGCAGCAAAAACAAACCCAACATGTCAAATTTTAATGGACCATCAAACGTGGATGGTTCTGGTTCTGGTTGGTTTCTCACCATCTGGTCCATGAAGGAGACGAAACACCAGAACGCATCGACCTCGTTCTCCATGACGAACAGGATCGGCGACAGCAGGTCGCTCATCCCCTGAACGTAACCTGGAGAAACACGGAGGGTCAGTCAAAAACCCAGAGGGAGAAACAGAACCCGGTCGGTTCTGAAGACACAGAGCAGTCAGAACAGTTTGCTGTATGCTTCACCTAACATCCAAAGTGCAATTCTATAACAAACAAGGCCACCTCGAAGGCGGGGCTAGGTCCACCGAGGCGTTCTGCACAGCTGAGTGGTTGCCATGGAGATTAAAGGATTTCTCAAACATGCATGGAAGAATCCAAGCAACACTCCAGGATGTTTATCATGCAGGAATAACGTTATAACATGATGTAAAGCTCAAAAGAGTTGATTTTACATGATACTGCCCCTTTAAGGATGATTATCATCACATTTTTTAACCCCCAATGAGCCTCAATCATCTTCCTGCCAACTTTTAATGAAGGTACGAGAACACAGGAGAACCAGTGAGCGGCATGAAGCTCTCACCCAGGTCGAAGTCGTACATGCAGTAGGTCATCAGGATGTCGTGCAGCAGAGTCAGGCCCGGGTTGTTCAGACCTTCGTAGAAGCGGTTCGTTCGGTCTGTTCGGTTCACGTCTTTCTCTGCAGCAGAAAGAAAACAAACATGGAGGTCTAACACTAGCTTCAACGTCTGACCTCCATCTGGTTTCACACAGCATTTCTGCTCCCATCTCCATCAGAGGAGGAGAAACAAAAACTTAGTGGAACCGGACAGATCAGCAAGAAGAAAGGCGACATAAATGTCTGCAATTCAAAATAACTATATGAAGGTGAAAAGAGCAGGATCAAAGCTTCAGCTAAACATTTGGTCATAACTTAGAGCAGCGGTGTTCAAAGTGCGGCCCGGGGGCCATTTGTGGCCCTTGAACTGATTTTGTGTGGCTCCCAACTGCAATTGATGCAGACTGACACTTTTTTAAAATTTGTAATCAGGGTAAAATTATTACCAGCATAATCTTCTTACAGTGGAAAGTGTTAAGTACAACACAAAGTATTTTATAATGACAAAGCTTTTATAATAAGTAGAGCCAAGTTTATTCTGAAACTTTACTGAAAAGGCGACTTTGATTCACCCAAATCAGCTTCAATCTAATTTAGTAAATTAAATTTAACAAGCATCTTAAAATAAAGTGATCAAATCTTGTTCTTCAAACTAAGAATAAATTTGATTACATTTTCTTTCTCTGAATATAGTAAACATGTAAAATCATTTTTAAATTTTTTAATCTATAGTGAATGACATTTCTTTCCTTCAACAAAACAACTTTATTTATTTGATTTTAGTTTTTTCTTTTATTTTCTTGACCCAGAAATCTATTTTTTTAAACCAGTTAAAAAATTTGGACACTGAGCAGTGAGCTCTCTGGCGCCCCCCTCAGGTGTTTTGATGCAGATTGATTCCTACATGCGGCCTTAAAGTGACGCATTACATTTATGATGATCTAAGTGATGAAGACTGCAGAGTCCTCCTCTTCCTCACCGATCAGGCTCTTGTAGTCTCTCAGCCTGGAGTTTCTCCTCTCCTGCTCCTCACTGATGGATTTCCACTGCAGCTTCATCCTGAAGTATTCATCTCTGGGAAACACAAACATCCACCCTCAGGCTTATTACCATAACTAATTATATTGGACGATAAATTGTCCCAGTAAATATTGCGATGAGCGATAACATTGTTTTTGAGACAGTTTTCAACTAATATATTCATGGCATAATATTAATGCAAGATTTTCCTCTCAAAGACAACTAAACTTTAATTTAGTAAAGAACTCTTAATGCTGTGTCTGCTTGTGTTCGTTGTACGTTTTGGTCTTCTGCAGAGACTTCCTCTCCTCCAACGTGCTCGTCCATGGATAATACCCCAACAGGAACTTCCAGGCTTCCCTCCTCACGGCGTGACACAGACCCTGCAGGTCAACACACACACACACAGCATCACATGGTCAGTAGGGTCACATGGTCAGTAGGGTCACATGGTCAGTAGGGTCACACTCTCTGGTCACATGACTCTCTCTTTCACTTTCAGAATCTGTTTACATTTAATTCACAGGTTTTATTAACAGGGTGCAGTCAGTGGCCTCATGTTTCTGCCTGAACAGGATGCATTGTGGGAAACGTAGTTCAGATGTTCCTGGAGACGCGTCGAGCAGAAAGTTTTGAACTTTTCACATGTGGATGTTAGAAATATTTTTTAGCTGCAGATTCATTCTTTGCTACAAATGACCAAACATTCACTAAAAGAATGCTATGAAAGTTAAAAATGAATGGGATTATTTTACATATTTTAATGTATTTCTAATGTTCTATAAAAAACACAAGTGGTTAAATAAAGAATCTGCAGAATGTGCCAATTTTTAAAAATTCGATTTATCAATAGATCAATAGATTAATTGGTAGAATAACAGACTATTCAATACAATAAGCAATTAATCAATAGGATAATAAAGCACTAAGATTAAACTTAGTTGCAGTCCTAATTTTCAGACAAAACTGTTATCAGTCTGCCTCCAGTTGGGGTGAAACCGTAATAATTTAATAAATCAATCGTCTTGTTGTGGATGTAACGGAGACTTGCCCCCTTAAAGATCCTCTGTCTGAGCGCGGCCTCGTTCTCTATCCTCCCCTCGGGGTCCTGGTGTTTACTCCAGTAGTCTGCCGACACCGGCTCCACCCGGCTCACCTGCGGCCTCGTGCCCAGGTCGATCTGTCAGGTCAGAGGTGATGATGTCATCACTTTGGAGGAGGAGGCATCAGCTGATGAGCTGGAGGTCGGCTCCTTACCCTGGTGATGACCTCGAAGCCCGGCTCCTCCTGCTGGTTGATCTCCAGACCTGGGATGACTTCCCCCAGCAGGTCGGCCACCTCCTCCGGGGGGCGCTGCTGCTGCTCCTCTGTCCCCCGCAGGGCGTCGTAGATGTAGTTGGTGACTTTGGAGAAGCCGCCCAGCGTCGCCACATAAGGGTCGCGCTTAAACTTCTGCAGGAGGAAAAGTCAAGTCAGGGTTATATGTACAGAACATTTCAGCAACAAGGCAGTTCAGAGCTTTGCATCATGAAAACACAACCAGTTATGAAACAAGCAATAAACATTACAGTCTGACAAAATCATCAAGCAGCTACGCGTGAAATATGTTGATCAATGTACCAGTTATTATTAATCAAAAGCAACTCTGAACAAATGGGTTTTTAGCCTGGGTTTAAAGGGAATCAGTGTTTTGATTGTTTTGTTCAATGGAGTATTAGGGCCAGGCTAAGATAAAAATAAATAAAATTACGAGAATAAAGCCATAATACTACAGGCATAAAGCTGTGATATTACAAGAATAACGTCAGAATATTGCAAGAATTAAGTCATAATATTATAGATGAGATCGGCTTCACGTGTAAGAATCAGCCGATTACCAATCTCCCAAAAGTAAGGAAATCGGGGCGGATATATCGGCATCCATCGTTATGGAAACTCATCTTATTTCTTGTTTTAACCTGAGCTAATGGGAACATTGATATAAAATATATACCGGTAGATACTAATATAGATATTAAAAATTGAGGGTTTCCAGGATTGAACCTTGTGGTTCCCCACATGTGACTTATGTCTGTTCCAATGAGAAGTTACCTATTGACACAAAACAAACTAAACTAATCCTAAGAGATCGATAACAACCTGATCAGAGCGATCAATCACTCTGTAGGAAAAGTGAAAACGCTTGAAAAACATGACCGCGAGGAACGATGACTGTGAAGAGGATTTGTGTGTGTGTGTGTGTGTGTGTGTGTGTGTGTGTTTTCTTACGTGAATGAGGCCAAAGTTGTTGTCGTCCAGCAGGTTCTCAAAGGACTGGGACAGAGCTTTGTTTGGAGTACTGACCAGTAGACGCGTTTCATCCTCAGGACTCCTGAAACACACACAGACCCTACGTCAGGCGTGTGCGTGCGTGCATATGTGTGTGTGTGTGTGTGTGTGTGTGTGTGTGTGTGTGTGTGTGTGTGTGTGTGTAAGAGCGTAGGCAGAGCGTCACTCCGTCACAGATCTGAATCCAAACATCCGGCACTGATCCTGCCTTTCACTGAGCTGCAGATAAGAACTTTAATAAGAGTTATCAGCTGCAGAGAGTCTCCTGCCGTAATCTGACTTCATCTCCGCCTCGGAACGTTTCATCATCGCAGACATTAACATATAAATGACGCGATTCTCCAGACGCGCACACAGTCCGTCTGTTTCTGAAAACCAGCAGAAAGCCTCCAAACTTCAGCCGGTCTGAATCAGAATCAGACGGATCGATTATCAGAGAGTAAAATCTGCAAACAGGAAGGCAAAGAGGTTCTGCATAGAGATCCATGTCGATACTGGAAATTTTGCCAAGTGTTTCGATGTGTTTGACACTCTGTGTGTCAGACAGTCTGAATGGACCAGATCATCTTATAACAACCCAGGAAGGCCAGAAGGTTTCTATCAGAATCATTCCTTTCCACTGTCACCATGTGCTTGCTGAGTATGACGTATTGCTGCAAGTTAGTGACTAGCCTTTCCTAGTTCTTGTAAACATGTAACCAGGTCTTTATAAAAAGGAATATCTCTGCCACACTGTTAAAACAAAAAACACAAAATCCTTCACATGGGATCAGTTTCAGAAAACTTTTCATCCATATAGACAAACACAAATACCCCAATAAGCATTGTTTTAAACATGCCAAACCAATAGGGGGCAGTGTAGCACTAAGCTGAAACCTGTCAGCCAATGATATTACTTATTTATTTATTTATTTGAGCTATTTTTAACTTTTCTGCACACAAGGCAAAAAAGGGAACAAAACAAAACAAAAAAACAACAAAAAACACACAATCCTAAACAAAAAAATAAAAAACAAGACAAAACTATTACATAAATAGATAAATAATATTTAAATTTAAAGTTCGGTCAATGGCAAAAACGCAAAGTGCAGACGGAAAAAAAGTGTAGGTAGAAGCAGAAGCTCGTTATACTTTCACTTCTATAAAAAATAAAAACAACTTCCTGTTAGGAATTAAACATGGCAACAGGAAGTTCATTTGTGTGAACAGATATACTACTTATTAAAATATAAAATTATTAAAGCACATTTTATATGCGTTTTAATAATTAAAATGGCACTATGTGCCTGGAAAACACATAATACTGCCCCTCAATGAAACTCTAAAGAAACCAGGTTTATCTGAAACAGACCCATTAGTTGTGTTTGTATTAATTTTCAAAGTTTCTAATAATTAAATACCTCATCCCATTGAATCTGCTGCTGTAAAACAGCTGAGTTTGAAGTAAAATTATCTTCACTCTATCTGTAAAACAAGCCTCACTCCCCTTCAATCCCTGGATGGTTCTGTTGCTGTAAGAACCTGAACCCTGCTGCTACTTACTCTGTCAGCAGAGCGAACCTCCGCAGGCTGTCCAGGAACTCTCTGCTGCCGCCCTGGTGGAAGTGCAGCGCCGGGACGGAGCTGGAGGAGTCCTTCAGCTGCAGGATGAGAAAGGTCCAACCTTCCTCCTTCACTGTGATGGACTTGAGGTCGCTGATGTTCACAGAAAAAGCCCAGCGGCTCCGCTCATGGCTGTGATTCAAAGAGCCTGACAGACGAGACGCAGGGCTTAGAAAACACACCGCAGAATGATTCATTTAAAGACACACACACACACACACACACACACACACACACACACACACACACACACACACACACACACACACACACACACACACACACAGATTTCACTTTAACTCTTTGAAAGCCTGAAAACAAACTCAACTCCTGTTTGCTTGAAAATATTTCAAAGTTTTATTGTTTTTTTTTTATTTTTGTTTTTTTTATGTCATTGGAAAACTGACATGATTTCATGACTCAGCAGCTTTTCTAATCACTGGATGAAGAGGTGGGCAGCTTAATACTGATTTTTTAGGTAACTGTGTGACTGCAACTGCAAGACCCATCAATCACAGCACCACCAACACAAATATTGTTCTTGAAAAATATTCTCGGCTTCACCAAGACACTTGATGCATTAAAAGAAAGGCATTAAGTTTTAAATTTTTTTTTTTTTTGGCTTGACTTAGCAAATTTACTCTCGGCTATAGTAACAGGATTTGGGTCGATTTTTTCCCCAATGTTTAGCCAACGCTAAATTAAATAAAAGCTGATTTAGGTGCATCAAAGTCATCTTCTCAGTAAAAATCTCTGGATGAACGTGGTTCTAGTCATTATTAAAGCTTTGTTCAAAAAAGACAAAATACTATGTCTCATGTATAACATTTTGATTTGTAAGAAAATTATGTTGGTAATAATTTTACCCTGACTACAGATAAAGTTTCCATCAGAACTTTTTATCTGCTGGACAGGAAAAATTTGAATTATTCTTGAGCTGCACTCAGGGGCCACATAAAATCAGCTCAAGGGCCACAAATGATCCCTGAGCCGCACTTTGGACACCTCTAATTTAACGTTATAAATTTACATTTATCGAGACGACAATAAATCTAATTTTTTGCTCAGAAAATGTTCAAGATAAATGCCCAGCTCTAATTCCAACTGCACTGTGCCGCATTTCCTCCATCAGTCAGCTGACAAGAAGTCTCCAGACTCACTCTCTCCGTTGGTGTAGTTCTTCTTCTTGAAGGAGACGGCGTTCACCATGTCCCACTCGGTCTCGTAGCTCTGCTGCGTCTCCAGCAGCTGCCGGGTCTGGGACTTCTCTCCGGGACACTGGGCCCACTCCACCACTGAGCTGGAGTCCTGAGGAGAAACACGACACACCTGAACGTCCCCTGAAGTCACGGCACTCTAAAGGTCACTGAGGTCACAGAACGAGAAGAGACGAACCTGTCCAGCGCACAGCATGTTGGATGGGTCCACGCTGTCCTCCAGAGGGCGATATTCCACCAGAATCTCTGCATCCTGCAGGTAGAAGAAGCAGCAGACTCATCAGCTGACTAGGGATCATTATTTGGATCCTCATTAGCCGTTTCCATAATAATGGCTACAATTCCTGGAGTCCACATCATAAAAAACTGTTACAAAAACAGCTAAACACTTACAAACACAATGCACACTTACAATGCTAAACACGTTATAAACATAGCACAATTCATCAATGCACAATTATAACACTTATAATAAAATAAAGTTATATTAGAAACATAGCGCATTTTCACCGTTCTAATAAAAATAATAAAGCAGGGCTCTTTTAAAAGCTCTAGCATTTGTTTAATTTATAACAGATGAATACAATGAGTTTCAGGTTTCCATTCCTGTAAAAATAACAATTATTGATTGAGTATGTAAAAGGAATATCACTTCTCTTAAACTCTGTGAAAATTATTGAGACAAAGAATGTTGTGATAGTATGACCTGTTTGTGTTGTGGCCATTTTTGTTGAATTTTTGTATATTATAAGTTCTGTCAATCTAGTTTTTCTTTTTGCAGTTGGAATATACTTAGGTGAGACTGGACGACTGGTGGTTTTTGAAATATAATTTTTGTCCTATTTTTGAATTTGTAAGATCAGGTTAAATACATTTTTGTTTTTATCTAAGTTGTAAGAGATTTTTTTTGTAATTGTTCTATCTATATTTTGCTAGAAATAACATATTTTTGGAAAAATATTGGTTTTTGGATTTAGATGGCTGCAAACATACATCCAAATGTTAATGATTAAGACCCAGTTACAGTATTACCAGCTGTTTAGTGCATATTTTGTTTTTTAACATTATGCATTTATTGTGCTGCATGGCTTTCATGTCATTCTGTACTCCCTTTGTTTTTCCCCCTCTCAGTATAAGTTTCTGACTGCTTGTTGCTCAAGATACTTGAATAACAAGATTGTCAGGTGTTTGTATTTTAAAACAGAACCGCAGAAAGTGCATTTTGCATCCCACAGGACTCCATTTGGATCTTTCTCTTTCCCGATCTCGGATGACTTCACCATCTTTATCCCTCAATCAACTGGCTCCGCTTAAGGATAACCTGCGGCGCCATCTGCTGGACGGCGGCCGAACTACAAAAATAAAGTCACCTAAGCGGACATTAATAGTTAGTCGATTAGAACTAATTTGAATCCCTAGAGCAAATGTTAGAAGATTTAATCTTTTTTTCTGAGCAAACTAAAATCAAAGAGAGAGGTTGTGACCAAAAACCAATCAAAAGCGTCCACACAGATACCTCTGTGTGGAAAAAGACCAGGGGAATTTTTTTTAGTTTCACCTTCTCTATGATACGAAGGGATCCCGAAACCAGCAAATCTTGATCCGGGCTTCCTTCATCTGGGGTCGGATGGAGGAAAATCCCTTCGTGATCAAATATCACCTGCAGAAGGAAAAGTTCAGCAACTGAGAGACAGGACGGTCACCTGAAAACTCAGATCCAATCAGGAGCCACAGAACCCAGATCAGATTTTAAAAACCACGCAGGTCCGTTTTCTACGGAGGAAAACGGCGCAAACACTGATTTATGGCATAAACCAGAGTTTTTCCTGACTTTAAAATCGCATTTATGTCATTTTAAACGGGTGTAACAGACTGACTGCTCCATCTGTTGTATTTCTGGGAACTTTGCTAGCAGAACCGGGGGAGGGAACTTGGCCTGAAGCCGGGACAGCAGTTGTTTTTCTGGGCGTCAGTCTGAAGAACATCCCGTCGTCCCACCGAATCCTCCGTGTGTCCGACACCCGGAGAACCGGACCAGACTGGAGGAAAACCGGTTTGGAGTGTAGCACAGACTGTTACGGTCTCCCTAACCGTCCTCCCCGGTGCTGCCTCCCCCTGCTGCGGATACCTCGGCAGCTAACTCCGCGGTCAGAGAGCGAAGGAGAAGCCCGGAGAACCCCCACGGTGCTCGACCCGATTCTAGATCAAACTCCGGTCTCGGAACAGCTGTTGAAACTCATGTTTTCCTTAATGTTTTCCTACCTTTAGCAGCTCCGCCATGTTGCTGCTCTACCGCTGACGACAACACATCACGTGACAAGCAGCTGCCAAAACAAAACTGACAGCTCAGCTTCCTGTGACGAAAACGTAGAGCTTCCGGTAAAATTAAAAAATTAATGAAACTAAATAAGTTAAAGCAGAAATTTAAACAGAAGTACATTACAATAAAAAAGCACAACAAAATGCAATACATTTATGGAAATAGGCATGAAATGAAAGATAAAATATTTTGTAATCAGAGCCGACCCAAGATTATTTGGGGCTCTAATTTTTACTTGAGGCCCCATTTTCAATTAAGCCCACCGTTAAAACATAATCTTTAAAATAATGTCATTTCAGTTGTAAATAGCTTGCTTGTTTAATATGAATTCAGTAGATCTAAACCTCCTGTTGTGGTCAGAACAGGTGCAGCCTTAGAAAAAGGAAACACTGGAACGGCATAAAAATTTTATGAATTACACAAATAAAACTAATTTAATTATTTTGTTGGTGATTGAGGTTAGAAAATATTCTATAGACACAATTTACAAATACATAGTAGTAAAAACCTTTTTTTTATTTATTTATTTTTTGCTATTTGCTTAAGTTTGATTCAAACGTTTGGTTATTAAAATAATATCTTTCAGGTATTATATGTAGCAGTGGCTTGCCATAAGTGAATGATCAGATTTCGCTCTAGTGTGCACTTTCTATTCCCCCTCACTGTAGGATAAATTACTTAAAACTGTTCCAACAGCAGTTTTTTGGGGGGGCTGAACCAAAAAGACATTGGTTCTCTTCTACTGAAGAGATGGTTTAAACTTTTTCGCTCTTTCTGGTCCTGCTCTGCATCCATGAAGTCTTTCAATTCCTTTGGGATTTGGAGTCAAAGATCAGAAAAAAAATTCAGATAAACTTCATTAAGTACAGCATTTTACTTATGAAGACAATATATATGAACCAACATATAGGATTTTCATTTTCTTTATCTTCATCTTTATTTTTATTTGTACACATTGCCTGCTTTGTGTTTAAAGATGTATCTATGTGGATGATTGAATGTTTAGTTGCTTATGGTAAAGCAAACTGACTTTTGAGAGGAGGGGTAGACTGAGATTTTTTTTCTTCAAACTACTTAAAAACTTTTGCTTATGTCAACATGTGACATGTTAATTTTAAACTGCAAATGAATGGAAAAAAAAAATCCTTATAGAACACCCAAAATAGATTTATCTGTTAAACTATAAACTTCACTTTAGAGGTATTAGATTTATTTCCTTCTATTTTTAGTCATATGTTGTCATTGTTCAGCAGAGATTTGTCTTCATGATGGGTTAGATGATCATCGTCTTCATCAGGAGTCTTCTGGTGTCTTTAATCAGAGCCCACATTAAATATAACATGGATTAGCCTTTACTTTATAAACATTTAATTTTATAGTGTGATGTTATCTTGATATTCAAAACAAACACTCGGACACAAGAAAAACCCAAGACACTCATTTCCATCTTTATATAAAATAATTTAATAACATCTGACACGTAGAAAACAAAAGTGGCAGCACAAAAGTCTCTTTAGTTGTCATGACAACAGATTGCACATGAGCAGTCCGGCTGAGCTCGGCTGGTTCCCGCAGCGACCTTCTGTTTCCGAGGCAGTCTCTTACAAATACTCAGCCAATCAGAAAACACTACACAGGTGGGCGGGGCCGTCTCCGCACAGATACTAGGTCAATAACCTGAACACTTGTCTTTCATCGGTTTACCAAAATAAAAGTCCACACACAAAGAAAACAAAAACGTGGGGGAGGGTCTGGGTTAGGGATGGGGCTGCCCCCACCCCTCGTTAGGTGAGTTAACTAAAAAAAGGGAGGGAAATGAGTCCAACTGAAAGGTGAGAGCAACTAAAGAGAAGGTGATGAAGAGCAAAGGCGTCACTCAGCAGCAGCATACTTACATTCACTGAGGTAGGAGGATGGCAGGCTGGGGGGGCGTGGCCTTACCTCGTCAATCAGTCACCTACTGATCAGCTCTACTATCAGTCTGATCACAGATCCACCCCCCCGATACTCAGGTTGACCCCCGCCTGCTGACAGGAGTCCACCAGCCGCCGCAGACGGTCGGAGGCGCCGCCCTCCGCTGCTTCGAACAACAACCGCTGCAGAGAGGAGGGGCGGGGGGGAGAAAGGGGGGAGGCAGTAGGAACAAGGAGGGAGAGAGGAGGGCGGGGTGGGGGGACAGACAGATGAGGTCACAGGGATGGAGGGGGCGGAGGGAAGGGCCAGGTGAACATGCTGTACACAGGTGAGTCAAAACAGCTCAGTCACCTGATTCACATCGACTCATCAATACTAGGGCTGAAACGATTAATCAGATTAATTGTAACTAATCGATTATTGAAACAATCGTCAACTAATTTTGTAATCGATTAATTGCTAACTGGAGTATGCAGGCTAAAAAAAAGGACCATTAGCTGAAAAACCCCAACATATTCAGAGCATCAATAACTAATTATCTGATCCAGATTGACTCATCAATCTCAACTAGGGCTGGATCGATTAATCAAATTAATCACAATTAATGGATTATTGAAATAATTTTCAACTAATTTAGTGAACCATTAATCGTTAACTGGAATATACAGACATTTATTTTTAACCGATTAATTATCAGAACAACTGATTAGTAAAATATTTGTTATGCTAACTGATTAATACTCATTTAACTCATCCATAGTTGCTTCTGAAAGCTAACTCTCTAAGTCTTGGGTGCCCAAAGTGCAGCTCGGGGGCCATTTGCGGCCCTCTGAAAGATTTTTTGCAGCCCCAACCCAACCTCAAATCTAGAATTGAGCAAATCTGGCCTGTAAGTCCAGGTTGTTGATGCAGATATTCTCAACTCAAACCCCTGATCTTAGAAGATATTTCAAAATAAGAGTCCTAATTTCATAGTGAGTGAGCTCAGACTCAGGAGGTGAGGTAGCGTTACCTGTATGTTTGTGTGTGTGTGTGTATGTGTGTGTCACAGGTGAATTACATCTTTCCACAGGGCGGCGCACAGAGGCAGGTTTTGGAGAGCTTGCTGATACAGAAGACGCATCTAGAAGAACAACAGACAAAATAAAAGAGAAGAAGAAGAAGAGCTGAGACGCCGGAGCGTCAGCTCAGTTTAGCAGAGACAAACAAACAAAAACAGCTGGGACAGGTGTGGACAGGTAACACCTGCAGGAGAGAGATGAGCTTCAAAATTAAAAAAATACCCCAAGACCCGCTGCTGCAGGGACATTTATCCCAGATCTACAACCGATTCTGAGATTTGTTTCTAGTGTGAAACAAATCTCAAAAAAGCTCCGTGTCTTCAGAGGTTTTTGTGTAATTTCCTTCAGTAGTTCGTGATGCAGCGCCCCCACAGGTGAGGAGGGGAACATGTCATTCGTTCAGCAGTTGAAAATTCAATAAATATTTCAATTTTATCCCCAATCTAACCAAATCCACTGAGCTGTCTGGTGTGAAAACACTCTACAAGTGTTCAGGTATATCAGCAGGTCTGACACCTGGTGGCTGCTTGGGGTCGCTGCAGACTGAATGATACCAGTTGATGGATAAACCAGACCCCTGACAACCCCTCCCCCCCCCGTTCTGGGACTCACCTGGCCACGCTCCTTCAGCTCCCGCTCCACAGCGATTGCTCTGGACACAAACACCACAGACAGTCAGTCAGCTCTGATCTCACTGGAGCGACACACGGTGTGCTCTTCATGTTCGACACCATCAGGAGTGTCTGAATCAAACTGACAGGAACAGCCAGGAACCACAGTCACTCACATTCTCCAGCTGGACAAACATCGAGGAGTGTTGCTGGTCAGCATGCGGGCCTGAAACTTCAGCTGCTCCATGTTTCCCTCAACAAACTCCTGATGCAACAACCTGCAAAGCAACGGCACGACTCACACACAGAGGCAACACACCACCAGGACAGACGGCCTCAGACTCTCAGACACCTGGCTGCGTGTGTGTGTGTGTACCTAAGGCCCAGCTCAGGGTTGCTCGGCATGGCGTTTCTCAGCCTCTCCAGAACCAGAGCGCGCTGGGAGAGCGGGACGTGTTTCAGGTAGAGGGACACAACCTGGAGAAAGAAACAGCAGCCGTCAGGTATACAAGTCCTGCTGTCACTGACCTGGATTTTACAGCTGAGCAAAGAAGTGTTTTAGTAATAGAGTACTCCATTGGTTATTCTAGCAATTAATCAGACAAAACAAAAAGTCAAGCTTTTCAAAGGGTTTAGTTTGTTTGACACAGTGAAAATGAACCGCAGCAGCTGAAAATGCAACTTTGGTCCCCAATCAAACCAAGTCTAGATAATTTCCCTCAAGGATTTTTAGTTATTGAGAAACCCAAATCGTTTCAGCACTACAGGATTTACAAGTGAGGTTTCTGGTTGAGTCAGACATCTGCTGTCCAACAGTCTGAGTAGTTAGTCATCACTGGAGATGCGATGAAGTCAGAGCTGAATTCTAACCTTGTTATGGAAGTGGTAGCAGCTCCAGAACTGTGCAGGATTAAAAGGAAGCTCCAACCGTGACGGGAGTGTGCTGAGGCAGCGATGGACCAGATCTGGGAACAGCTTTCTGGAGACGCTGATGGTCTGCGGTCTGCAGCTGAACAGCAGGAAGCTGAGAGAAGAACAGAGTCGCTGTGAGAGGAGCAGGGATAAACCTTTCTGTTTGGTTACATTTCATCCCACAGTGGGAACACTCACTCCATCCACAGCGTGTGAAGCTCCTCCAGCTGCAGGACGGACCCCAACGCTCGCTCAAACGCTTCAATAGCCTCTTTATCTGAACCGTGCAGCCACATCCAGCGACTGAAACAGAGATCTAACTCTAAAGAAAACCCAGTTTCAGCCCTGAGGCTTCCAGCAGAGAGAGGACTCACCAGTGAAGCAGGTGAAGGAAGGACGTCTGCTGACTGAGCTGCTCCTCAAGCTCCTTCCTGATGATGGGACCGATCAGCAGATCCTGGCTGGAGAAGCCCAGGATGTGACTGATGGGACAGAAAGCAACGGAAATATCACACAAACCTCTGTGGACATCTGCAGAGTTAAAGGTGACCTATTATGCTTCCAGGTTAGGATAGATCTATGGTCTATACAAAACATGTCCATTACAGTTTTTGCATTCTTAGATAATCGGATTTTAGTCTCAGTTCTGCCTGTTATGAACTCCTTTCAGGGTTAGGGGTAAGGGTATCTTGAACCTCTAGGGTCAGGAGGGCCACGGAAACACTTATGGCGGGCCGGATTTGGCCCCCAGGCCTCGAGTTTGACACATATGATGCACCAAGTGGTTTCTGAATGGTAAGTCAACCACAACAAAAATCTTCTCTTTTTCCAGCAGCCATTGTATAGCTCATACAGTGGTAAAACCAG